ACAGGGTTGTACGAATGTTCCATTTTCTTAGTATTGGTCGTAGCTTCCAAGCCAATATGCAGAGGGGTAGATATATCCATCGTTTTTCCTCTGCCCCTCTTGCTTTCCCTTCATGATCTCCGTTCTTTCATCTGTTCATCATCATGTGTATGTTGTGTTGTATTGCTTCTTCTGCATATCCGTTTCCAAGACACATCTGAGCTAGGTTTTCCAGGTCCTCTTCCCACAATTCAGAATCATTGAGTCATATGCGTCTTATGACCATACTCTGGAGTATTCCTATCTTCATTCTATAAGTATGGTTCGACTGGAAGTTAAGAGTTATTCCAGCATTCGATTTATTTCGGAAAAGTTTTCTTGAGAATTTCATCGAAGACAAAGACTTCCACATCCAAGAACGGTAAGTGCCCGTTCTCTTCCACATCCATGGTAAATTGGACTTCCATTTCGCGTATGAAGATTAGGAAATCGTCTAGTTTTTCTCTGCTCCATGCCACCAAATTGCATACTTACTCTTGGTTGCTGGGATAACAATTTTGAAATTCTCCTCCAATTTCTCCATGAATACATTAGCCAACAGAAGTGGGCGTGGTGAGCCCATAGACAGACCAAATATTTGCTCATAAATGAGGCCGTTGAAGGTGAAATAGGTTGATTTGTCGGGTTATGAACTCTCTATGCATTCCTTTTGTCCCCAATATGTCATTTTCTTTTTCCAAGATCTCACTAGTGCCATGAGTGCTTTTTCTCCTGTGATGTTAGTATACATGGATTGTACATCAAAATTCGTTTCCTTGCAAACTGGCACACTTGATTCTTCAGCGAAATTCTTGAGTTCTTCACTCTATTCCATAGTCTGTCATTCACGTTCTTTACTTTGAGGCAGATATATTTCTCCAATTTATGTGTTGGCCGGTATTTCTTGTTGATTGTAAGTCCCAATGGTTCTCCTTTTTTGTGTACTTCTGGCAAACCGTATTCCAGTGGGGCTCTTGCATCCTTTCGTATGAGTGAATTCATTGTCCATTTGTCAGTTTCCCAGTTCCAATTCATTTTCTTGCGGTGCTTCTCTGACTTTAATTGTTGTGCCTTTTGTCAGTATTCTATACGTTCTATTGTCCCCGATAATATTCTCCATTTTCTCTGTACATTCCCTTCTGTCCATCACCATTGTGGCACCTCCTTCGTCTGCTTGTAGGACTATTCCATCATTTTTTCTTTATTCTTTATAGACGTTGGTTATATTGTCCCTATGTGTGGGTTTTTGATGCGCCACAATTGTTGGGATGATTTCCATTTCCAGCTCTATTTTTTTCATTTTCAGGTAGCTTCTCAGAAGCATTTATCACCTCCTTTCATTCAGAAGTGCAAAACTTAGTCCCTTCTGGAAAATCCCTTCTGTTTCCAGGTAAAGAGGGACGGAAGACAGATTCACTACTTTATCCTCACTTCTCGTCTAGTCTGTGAGATCCGTCAGCCTAGAGGCATCTTCATTTTTTCCATATGGCTGGGCCTTGGGCTGCCAATAGATTCCATATTTATTCCGCTTTTTCTGCTGCATTTTTTGATTAATTTCTAAATCCTTTTCGCCATTTCGTCTGTCATCATCTGTTGTTTCTGGAAATGCTCCAGGGTGAGAATCGGACTCTAATCAGGCTTGAGTCTGGATTCAATATCAAAAAACTCAAATAATTTTTCCCTATCCCTATCATATGTCTCCTATGACGTTTGCAAAGAAGCTTGATATACTATAACATTGACTTTATCGGAATGATATTTTCTCATCAAATTGAAAATACTATGAGGGATACCACAACGTTTACAACAGTTAATAAAGGTCAAATGACAAGATTGACTTATGATTTTTTTTATCTGCTCAGGAAGACCTTTTGGAACGTACCCAGTCCTGTGTCCTCTGCCATAGCATTCGTGGTTTCCATCATTGGCTCATTGGATGGATACGGTCCCATTGAATTCATTTCGCATATATTTTTTCTGAAAATCCTATTCCACCACAACTACTAATGCCATTCCATGTCTCAGTTATTGCTCTAATTTAGTTCTTGTCTAACGCCTTAATATGTATCAATTAATTAAAGCAGCCAAAACAGATCAGTTTCGCCTAGTCGAGGTGACGTGGCGTTGACGAAATATGCCACTCTCTATTTTACAAGCATTCCGTTGCCCATTTTCACTCGTAACCACCTTTCTGCTCGGATTTGTGCAAATCAGATCTGACTCTGGCGCTGATTATTTCTTCAGCCTCGCCCTATACTCATAAACCCATAACGTCAACCTTGGCCGTTGTCCAGATTACTTGGACAGACAGCGACAAAATATGCAAAATACGCCAATGGAGACTCAGAATGTATAAGGAGATGTATTCACCCTATTTCGTGTAAGGTGATGAAGGACTGGTAGTAGAATTTTCCCACAATGA